GCTCCATGGCTGTGAGTCCGTCGGTACCTAATTCGAGGTGGGCTCCACGAAGGGTGCCAACGAATTGACCGGACCATTAAAAGCATCGTTTCAGAGATCATGCCAAATGAGACGTTGAAATAAATCAAGTCTGGGAATGATGGCGAAGCTCTTCCCCTCAAAACGGTGTGAGTTATACCGATTGAATTTTGGTGGCCGGGTTTATGGTATGCAATCCATTCTCTTGAGATAGACAATGGAATAGCCCGTCTTCTAACTTTCTTGCAGCGTCATCAAAGCGTTGATTTTGTTGTCAAGCCTGTTCATTTTACCCTTTATCGTCTATGTCTTCTTCGAAGGACGTTGAGGAGAAAGAAGTAACCAACCACCGACTGGCCAAAAGGTCATCGACACCCCCCAAACGTATTGCTGATTAGAGGTGTACAGCCATAAGTGACTTCATCCCTTCTGGATCATCTGTCATTTGTACATTCTGAATGTGGCGGCTGATTCACCTCTTGACTGGACTCAGGGGTTGAGCCGTTGAGGCTAGCAAATTCTTCTCATTTGTTGAATACTAACTCCATTTCTGCTCTTCAACATTCAGCTTCTAATTCTTACGTTGTGTTGGCTTAGAGCTTCTAAAAGCTATTGGCGATTACTGATGCAGCCAGTGATTTGTGAGTTACTTCTCTGGTCTGTCCGTGCTAGACATGTATCATCAGAAGCGATTGCGAATAAGTGTCCGAGAATTCATCCTCCGAGGACATTCCTTCTTGCATTTCTTGTAGTCTCTGGCGTCTGATGGCTCCTAATTGGAGTCGAGCCATTCTTTGAGCAATTCTTGGATTGACTTTTCCTTTCGGAGAAAAGTCGGGATTTGAGTCACTTGAATGCCGTTTAGACTTTCTTTTACAGCCACGTTGATGGTGACTTCTAAGGAATTCATCATCTTGGGCAGCTGATTTCTCTTCGCGCGAAATGTCTCGGCTTAGGCTTCGACGATACAGAGACTCTTCTGGGGATGGCTTTCCGTTTGAAACAATCCATCCTGATAATTGCTGCTTAACGAGTCGTGCAACAGGAACACCGAGAGTATTATTTCTCGAATAACTCTCTTTCGAAATTATTACCAACCCCAACTTGATAATACGATTCATCGTATGATTACCAAAAATTCGTATCGTCTGTTGGCATGACTCCCAGGTATGACGATATCATTTGGTGAATGCGTCTTCTTCTGGGGGTGTAAAACCTTGTTGGCATTCTCAGGACAATTTATTTTGTTTTGAAGCGATCCAAGGTTTTTGCGGGAGTCCACGTTCTAAACCACCCCCTTGCGGGTACGAGTCTTAAGCGGCCTCTGAATGCTGATTTGCATAAGTCCAGACTTTGGAATCCAAACTTGTAGAGTTTCGGTGGTTCTTTGGTCACTGTTTCCTTCCTCCTTGTCTCGTCTTTGTTGTAGTAGAGTTCGGACATGAGCAGCATTTGCACGACGTTTTGGTATACGTTCTTTTGAGGGTCGAACGATCCTTTTGACAATAATCCATTCCTCGGTCGTGAATTGTGCAGAACATGAGTAGTTTGTCGTTGCGTTGAACAAACCACTTGTTGTTTCCTCCGACTCCTAAGTCCGCATAATAACGAACTTCCGTCGGTTTGTTTCAAATGCCTTAGCTAATTGACGAGCGGCGACGTTGGCGTCGCCTCTGCCGAGCCCTTTCGTCAGTGTGTGAACTTCACTCGAACGACTCTTAATTGGGAGGGAATCATCTTGAGCAGAGCTGTTGCGAGTAAAATCCTCAGCAAAAATCGGACTGAGAGTCTTCATCCGTAGCATTTAAACTTCAACGAAGATGAAATCTCTCTGCACTTGCGAGGCGCGGAAGACTTTACAGATGAGGATGACAAATTACTCCTCAAACTTCGCTTGGTCGACTCGTACTCCGACCGTTGATTCAACCAGGATCTTGATGATTGGCTGCGACACGCGGTCTCGCGCTAGCGAAACCGTTGGCTCCCACTGTGGTCGCCAACTTGTTTGCGGTCAAAAGTTGGTTTTGTCATGGAATTCATTATATCATTCAGTCGATTACAATAAATTCAAAAGAAATAGCCTTTTATTAATAGACTTCTTTTACACACAACAAATGAAAATTACAACTCTTGGGAAACAAACGCAAGATCGTTATTTGGATCACTGCTTGCGTGGGATCTTTTGCCTGTGTGCCGGGGGTGCGTTAGCCCGTGAGCCACCAAATCACAGATTCTGATCCGAATCGTGAGGGTTTATGATTCTGACTTCGTTTATCGAAGTGAGAACTTGAAATGATATCTTATCAGGTAAGATAGTCGTTCCTTCTTGAAATCAAGTCAAGCCTGAATATCAAGGAGTTTGCCAGAAGCTCAAAGACTCTGCCTCTCTGCTCTGGAATTCAGCCTATGGGATGCTCTCTGATCAGCTCGGATCTCTGCTGGAAGCCCCTCTTCAAAATGCCATTCAGGGGTATTTATAGCCATGGGAACACTTGGCGGAAACAGTCTCGCGAGACAGCATTTGCTGTCCGCTGTCGGACAGTATTTGCGTGTCTCGACGCGGCGAGAACAGTGTTTGCTGTCTCTGGCCCCGAGACAGTAAATGCTATCTCGGAACAGTAACCGTCAGGCAATTTTGTTTTTAACTGCTTCCACGTTTCAAACTCCGTTATTTTGGCAGTTAGCAACGTGATTCTCGCCGCACGCGAGTTCCCCACGTTCTGATACAGTTGGTGGCCACGTGTCGGTGGTTGCAAAACAGTTTCTTGAACCACTGATAACTGTCTCGGCGTGCGAGACACGTAAATACTGTCTCGCACGGCGAGACAGTAAATACTGTCTGCGGGGGCGAGACAGTGAAACTGTCTCGCGTGGCGAGACAGTAAAAGTCTGTCTCGCCAGGCGAGACAGTAAAGACGTCTCGCGCTGCGAGACAGTCTATACTGTGGTTCTTTTTTTGCCATTTTGGATGACTTCCTTTGAACTGTGTTTGGATACCTTTGAGCATTTTTGACGCCTACAGTGATGTAAGAGGACAAGGGTATGATAATAGGTTCTAAATATGAAAGGAAAACATAAAGGTGTACAAAGAGATTCATTAGAGATAAATCCTAGAGCATTCTACACACCTTGTGGTTGTCATAGTCTTAACCTTGAACTTTGTGATATGATAAACTCTTGTTTGCAAGCTTCATCTTTTTTCGGTTTGGATTTGAAGCAGCTATGGTTGAGGCTAAAGAAATTGCAGTTAGAATAAAAGTTGAACCCATTTTTCGTGAACGTCGCATCATTCGTAGAAAGAAACATTTTGATGAAAATGCTAGTAAAGAGATGGCAATGACAGCTGAAGAATCCTTTAGAGTCAATTACTTCATATATATCGTTGATCAAGCTCTTTCTTCTCTCAAGAGTAGATTTGAACAGTTTCAACAGTATGATGAGTCTTTTGGTTTCTTGTTTAATTTGGAGAGGTTGAAGTCTGCAGATAATGATAGTTTGAAGTGTTCATGTTAATTTGGAGAGGTTGAAGTCTGCAGATAATGATAGTTTGAAGTGTTCATGTCTTAACCTTGAAGATCTCCTAAAGCATGACAAAAATTTTGATATTAATGGGACAGAATTATTTTTAGAACTCCAAATCTTAAGAGAAGCATTACCAAGAGAAACAAAAAAAGCAATTGAAGTATTGAATTGTATAGAAACGCTAAATTGTTGTTTTCCAAATGCTTGGATTGCTTATAGAGTATTATTGACAATACCAGTTACAGTTGCATCGGCCGAGAGAAGCTTTTCAAAGTTGAAGCTCATCAAATCTTATCTATGGTCAACAATGTCACAAGAGAGATTGAATGGATTGGCTATGATATCTATCAAAAAAATTTATTGGAGAAGCTTGATTGGAACATTTTAATTGATAATTTTGCAGCTCAAAATACAAGGCGATCCCATTTAATGTAGTATGAATTGTGTTATTTATAAAGCATCAAGAAGTTTTTTGATTTTAATATTAATACGATTATGTGCTTATTGTCTCATTTTAATAAAAAATATTTTGCTATCTTATAAAAATTTTTGTGTATGGAATATTGTATATAGAGGCCCCTTGTATGAAAACTTGATTAGGGCCCCGTGAAAAATTAAGAATACCAAGGAGAATCCAAAGAGTTGATGTTTATCCTGCTATAGAGGAGTAAATTCTTTGGATTCTCCTTTGTGATTCTAAGTAGTCTAAATCTACTCCTCTATAGTCAAAGGAGAATCCAAAGAATTGATGTTTATCCTGCTATAAATGCTACAGTATTTACTGTAGTATAAATAGTAAGCCAAATTTGGCACTCTACACTTGAAGTTACTGCTTATACTACAGTTAACTTACTGTAGCGTGAATAGCAAATCAAATATGGTCCTCCATACTTGAAGTTACTATTCATGCTACAATATTTACTGTATCACAAACATTAAAGCAAATCAGATGTATTAAAAATTGGATTATTCTTTAAGTATAGAAGAGTAGCTATGATTTCTAAATCAAATGTATTAAAATTTGGATATTTTTTTAAATATAGAGGAGTAGATTTAATATTTAATTTTAAACATACAATAAGTAAATCAAATGTATTAGAACTTCTAGAACGACTTGTTTAAAACACTGTACTTTAGAAATAGAGAGTCGTGCTTTGCAAAGGGTGAACAATGGTTGTAGTAAAAAGAGATGAATAAAAAGGGTCGGCTGTGGGTTACTCCGTAAATAGGATCCGAGCCCGAGATCACCGGGTCACGTTCGCGTTGAGGGTGAGAAAAAAGCACGATCGATTCGGGAGCCAGCGGTTATAGGGACCCAGCTATTGACCAAAATCCAGCGGGACCCACAAACAAAACGAGCGCGCATCTCAAAACAGAGGACACGTTCGTCGTTAATGAAAATCCTGAGGACATTTTCGGCATCCAAGACGTTTCAACGGCTACTAGGTTCACTCCCGTTGGATGTAGAATCGAGCAGCTCCCAAAAAAAGCCTAAAAAAGCTTCCTTTTTTATTTTCCTGTCTCGCTTTTAGGTTCTCAAAAACCCTAGCTTTCATCGTCTCTCTCCTCAGATCTCGAAATTGATTGAAGGAGAGAGAGAAAGCGAGATGGAGCTCTCGTTTGCTAAAGTTAGAAAGAAGGCGATGAACATCTTCAGGAAGAAAACCTCAGCCAAAGGTGAGAGCTTTATTCTAATCTCTAAAAGACTGACCCTTTCTTTTGATTCTCGGAAACTAGTTGCCAAATGTTTGATCTTTAAGAGTTTCGCTCGAAATTTGAGAAAAATAAATGGGGCATTGTAACAAAACCCTAAATTTTGGGATTTTATGGACTAAAGCTGATCGTTTTTGTTTTGTGTGTCTCAGAGGCGCTTAGATCGAGCAAGAGGGAAATGTCCGTGGCCACTAGAAGTGAGATGTTATTATGTCTTTAATTTAGACGCAATTTGAATAGTTTTTCCCCTTTTTTTATTTGCCTATGGCTGAGATTGAGAATTTTCGTACCTTAAGAAGTGTGAGGAGATTAATTTGGTATTGGTTATTTTCTGTATATCCAGATGTTGAGAGAGAGATCGCATGCCTGCAGTTGGAGGTTTGCTAGTCTAAACTTTATGTAATCTTTAATTCATAAAAGGGTAAAGTTTCTGGCTTGTAATCTATTCGGTAGAGAAAATGTGGCAGGAGAAGAAGCTGGTCGCAGAGATTAAAAAGACTGCGAAAACGGGAAATGAGGTGAGTTCTTCTAATACGTGATTTTGATTAGTACCGTATTTAATCTTATACAAATATTACTAGCAGTTTGATGATTTATGCTTGTTATGTGATTCACATCTCTATTATCTGTTCAGCTAGTATATTGTAATTTGTTAAGACTTGCATTTGACTAATTCTTGTGAGGAAACATCTTATCTTGTTCTTCTACTTTCATATAATAGTATGATACATGTGACACATGCACGAAAACTAATTAGCATAAACAATTGGCATGATCCTAAGCACAAATATAAAAATAATTAATATGAACAAGTTTGATGTGGGTCCTGCTTTTTTTTTTCTCCCCCTTCTTCCAGCGTGTTCTTAGTAATGTATTGGAAACAAATCAGAAAAAGAACTTATAATACCAAGATCTTCAGAAATTGCAACCCTCAATTCACTCAAACCATGCAAATAACGTATATGAAAGCTAAGAAAGCACCAAGCAAGTAATCTATTTGAAAACCATGGAATGCGGTTTCAAGAAAAATGCTTTGTGCTTATGCCATTGTGTTGAAATACCATACTACTGCTTGAGAGCACAATCTTGATACGCTTAAAAAAAAAAAACCAACTGCAATGCTACATTTTGTATCAAAAAAGGAATTCATGTTGCATAGTTATGTGTCTATATCTTTTCTTTCAGGCTGCCACTAGGATCTTGGCTCGCCAACTTATACGTCTGAGGCAGCAAATCACAAATCTGCAGGGAACTCGTGCACAGATAAGAGGAGTAGCAACTCATACACAGGTTTAGAAGCTTGAAGTTTTAACAGTTTATATTTGCAATCTTTAAGGTTATTTTCCAATTGGAGTGTAAGATTAATGTTTCTTATATGCAGGCTATGTATGCAAGTACTTCAATCTCTGTTGGAATGAAAGGGGCAAGTAAAGCAATGGGAGCAATGAACAAGGTATAGTGATTTGAAAGCTCTATGTCATTTAGCATGATAAAGTACAGTGAGAACTAAAACTAGCTATTTAGCTCTAATTCTATATGACTTTTTTTATATCACCAGTATAAATTCTTTAGAAAGATCTATATGAAAGTTCTTCTGTTAACTGTGTTGTATTTTGCAAGCTTCAGCAAATGGAACCAGCAAAACAGGTTAAAGTGATGAGAGAATTCCAGAAGCAATCAGCCCAAATGGACATGACGGTAAAATTCTCTCAACAGTAAATACTATGTAACGTTTTTCTCTCTTTTTGTTTTTCAAAAACAGGTGTGCATGCAATATCTATTTTACTTTTTAAAAATGTTTTGAAGCATGTCTGCATTTATTACTTGGCAAGTGCTTGTTTTTCATGTTCATCACTTTCCTGGCATTATATGATCTAGAATGAGGTTAGCTCTCTTATATGCTTGTTCAAATGTTATGAAAAACAATATCTTTGTCTCGATGTTCGGTTAAACAGTTTTATTCTATCTTATCTCGATGTTCTGCTAAACATGAAAAGTTCTGTTACAAACTTCATAAATAAAGCTTCAGATTATTAAATAATAATTTTAATCTCATGCCATTGTGACAATCATTACATATTTTGGACGAAACAGGAAATTTCATATAACAACCATATATGTGATGCTTTCTTAAAAAAAAGGAGAGGAAAAAAAGAAAAAAAGGAAAAAAAGAAAAAGGAAAAAACATATACGTTATGGCAAAACTAATCTGTACATTTTTTCTTCACTTGTCATCGCTATCTGTTGTAACAACTACAGAAGTTTGTGGAGGCCAAAGCTTCATATATCCATGTGAAAAAGCTAGTATCTGCATTTCTGAATTGATGCATAAGAACTGAAAGGACAGAAAAAAAACTGATTTTTTTCTTTTTCTAATCGATGCATTTAATTACAAGATAACCTAAGAATCTTTAATTTACAAAGTGTGGAAATCAGTATGTGCAGTTAAATGTTTGCACAAAGGTTTCTGGATTACCTTTTTGTTTATTGTTCAATTTGCAGCTTGAGATGATGTCTGAGGCAATTGATGAAACGTTGGATAAAGATGAACAAGAAGAAGAAACTGAGGAGCTAACCAACCAGGTAAGCTACTCCTTTACATAAGGCTGCGAAAAAAATATAGCCTATTTGGAAATAGAAGTTGAATTAACAAAATAAATGTCTTGATCTCATATTTTAATATGATGATCCTTTTTCAGGTGCTTGATGAAATTGGAGTTGACATTGCCTCCCAGGTACACATTTGTTTTTAGCAAAAGCAGTATATATATTTTATTAATCTCACTAGTTTTGATGCTGATTCATTCTTTTGTTAATTTCTTACAGTTATCTTCAGCTCCTAAGGGTCGGATTGCAATGAATAAGAGAGTCGAAAATGCCCCAAGGTACACTTTCCTTTGCTTTGTTATAACCCCACCCACCCACCCCCTTTATTCTTCTTCCTCTTCTTCTCAAGCTGATATCGAGGACATTGACATCTCATAAAGCTTAAACTGTGGATGGCTCTTCGTTAATGAGTATCCAAAGGTTCTTCGTTTAGTTTTTTTTACATCTTGGTGATTCAAATTCAACATAAGACTAAGCATTTAGCTAAGCAGTTTTGCCCATGATAATATAGAAATTAGGATGTTTTTGGACGATGGCACATTTAACATGATGCGATCAAGCATAAGCTAGTTTGAGCAGGGAGCAATGTTTTGGATTGTCACAGAAAAGCAGTTGTAGTTTTATTTTCATTTATTTTACAGAGCTAAATAATTTTCGTTCATTTGTTTCATAATGTTTAGTTTGGATCAATGGTTATTTTCACAGACTTGAATAGGTTGCTTCTGGATCCGACAAGTTTACCTTTTGTGTTTTTATTTTCACAGATGACATCAACTAACATGGTTCTTAACAAAAACAACAGACCATGCATGAGTTTCTTCTATGTAATAATGTTTTATTTCTTTTCTATAATTTCTTATGGTATTTTGTTATTAATATTATCTTTATTTTGGCAGAATGCCGCACCTGCTCTGGCCCCTGCAGCTCATGACGTGGATGATTTGGAGAAGAGGCTGGCGTCATTGAAGTCCAAGTAGCAAAATAAATTTAGTTAAAACTATTATACATGCTTGTACGATATGCTTATCTTAAGTTGTTTCTGTGTTTTTTTTTTCTATAGAAGAGTGACGGTATATATATTCTTTATAAGTCCTATGTATAACGAAACACTAGTATAATGAAGCAGTAGGGTGTCTTCGGTTCGGATACGGTTCGGATATGACCCTTACCATAACCATAACCACTTTCTAAAAACGGATACGGATACGGTTCGGATATTCATCGGTAAGAAAAAAACAATACCGTATCCGCATTAAACGGAAACGGATACGGTTCGGATATTAGAGGTTCAGATACGGTTCGGATACGGATACTAATCGGATATTTGGGAAATAAATATGAATGTGATATGAAAAAAATAAATATGATTTTAATAAATATGATTCTAATACCTATTCATTGAAATTTATAAACTTAATGAAACAATTAAGACTAATAGGTTAGGGATTTTTATCATATAAATTAGGATTGTCAACTCAGTCAACAAATGCTAGAAATTAGGGCTTTTATAAAAAAAAATAGAGCATAGGGTTTTGAATTCACCTTACTGCTATACCAAGTTGAGGAGAAGAGGAGGTTGGACGTCGTCGGAAGGCGGAGCTCGGTCGGTGGACGGGGAAGCGGGGCAGACGGCATGGGCGGCACTCGCGGTGGGACGCACGGAGGCGGTAGGCGGGGCAGAGGTTTTTGCTCGGCGCGGAACTCGCTGGCGATGAGCTCGCGACGTTGAGATGGGCGGCGTCGACGCGCAGGAGGCGGGGCGGGAGCTTGGATTTTTGGAGTCGGGGCGGTTGGTCTTCGAGCTGGAGTCAGGAGAGCGGTGGATCTTCGAGCTAGAGGCGGGGCGAAATTATTTCGGCTCGGGGGCGGAGCTCGGCGGCAAAGGCCCTCCGGCGGGGAGGCTCTGAAGAATTTGGGATCGGGTTGGAGGTGGAGGCTGATGGAATGGGAGAGAAATTTAGGGTTTGGAGTTTTTGGAGTTTGATTTTGGGTTGGGTTGCGGATATATGTTATAAACCCGACCCGACCCAATAGGTATTATACTTACTTAGCTCATTTCAAGTATCCGGATATCCGGACCGTATCCGCAATTTCAATCCGATAACCGTATCCGAAACCGTATCCGGATAAAAAATCAAAACCATAACCGTATCCGACCGGTTTCAATTTTTCCTTACCATATCCGCTTTCTAAACGGATACGGTTGCGGTCGGTCCGGATAAAACCGGACCATTTTGCACCCCTAAGCACTAGACATGATTTGGGTGTTTGTAATGACTGGCGTTTCTGCATTAATAACATTAATCCGATTCGTGCTAGTACTTTGTGAATTGGGAGCTACAAGCCACGGTTCGGGTTGGATCCGGCTCGGGATTTGGGAGTTCGTAATGACTGATACTTATGCTTCTGCATTAATCGGATTCACGCTACCGGCTCATGAATTTAGAGCTACGAGCCACGGTTGGCCGGCTCTGCCCCATGCGGGCTATGTGCCGGGCTAGCTCCAGCACCAGACCTGAGCGCAAAGTTCTCGGCCCTGTTTACCTAGCTCCAGCTCCAGACCTGAGCGCAATGTTCTTGGCCCTGTTTACTGAGGCCTGATTTGGCCCTGGTTTGAACCAACACGGACTCGAACCTACAGGCTGGTACATGGATCTAGACCGGCTCGGCGGCTCGGCTTGGTCCACGCCTATACCTACTATATAACCCATGATTTTATGAGCTATATAATCTACGATTGTTAAACTTTTTATTTTTTGACCCAATCAAAATTAATTTTGTAGGGTTTAAAATTTAAAATTTTATGAGCATAGCTCACCATTTTTGTGCATTTTAACCCAATGTAAAAAAAAAATCTTATGTAGTTCTAAATTCACGATTTTATGAATTATATGTAACCCATGATTTTTGACATTTTGTGAAGTTCGAAACTCACAATTTTTTGAACAATATCTCACAATTTTTGAATTTGTTTATTCAGTTTGATTCAATAGCAAATTATTTTGTGCAGCACAAAATTCACGATTTTATAAGCTATAACTAATGATTTTTGTTTATTTCGACCAAATGCAAAACAATTTTACAGAGTTTAAAATTCATGATTTCATGAGTTATAACCCATAATTTTTATCCATTTTTATTTGTTTTGACCAAATAGAAAATAATTTTACGGAGTTTAAAATTCACAAAATCAAGAGCTATAACCCATATTTTTTTTGTTCTTTTTGCCCCAATGACAAATAATATCATGGAGTTCAAAATTCACAATTTCATAAGCTACATGATTATATGAGTTATAATTCAAAATTTTTACGTAATTTCGTTCATTTTGATTCAATGGCGGATAAATTTTCTAACCCGATTGAAAATACTTTTTATAGAGATCAAATTTCATGATTTAATAAGCTATTATTCATGATTTTTAATTTTTTATTTGTTTCGATCTAATGGCAAATAAATTTGTGGAGTTCAATATTTTCTGAGTTATGACCCATGATTTTTGAATTTTTTTCATTTTTTTCCTAATGATAAATAGTTTTGTAGAGTTTAAAATGCAAAAATCCATGAACTGTAATCTATAATTTTTATAAATTTTTGTTTGCTCCGACCCAATAGAAAATAATTTTATAGAGTTTAAATTCAGGATTTCATGAGCTATTATCCATAATTTTTGAAGTTTTTTATTTTTTTGATCCAAGAGCAAATAATTTTATGGATTCAAATTTCATAATTTCATAGGCTATGACCAACGATTTCAAGACATATAACCAACCATTTTTGATTTTTTTTTTATTTTGACTAAAAGGAAAATATTTTTTTAGAGTTTAAACTTTAATATTCTATGAGCTATAACCCATAATTTTTGTACATTTTCGTTCGTTTTAACCTAATGAGATTTTTATGGAGTTTAAAATTCACAATTTCATAAGCTATGACCAATGATTTTTGTGCATGTTTCTTCATTTTGACCTAATGATAAATAATTTTATAAAGTTCAAAATTCCCAATTTCATGAGCTATAACTCATTATTTTTTCTATTTTTGTTTATTTTATTGTATGGCAAATAATTTTGCAGAGTTTAAAATTCACAATTTTATGAGCTATAAGTCTGTAACCAATGATTTTTTTGCATTTCTCTTCATTTTGACCTAATGATAAATAATTTTGCAAAGTTCAAATTTCCTAATTTCATGAGTTATAACTCATGATTTTATCCATTTTTTTTATTTTGACAATATGGCAAATAATTTTGTAGAGTTTAAAATTCTGATTTTGTGAGTTATAAACCATGATTTTTTTTATTTTTGTTTATTTCAATCCAATGAAAAATAATTTTTCAGATTTCAAAATTTACAATTTATGAGCTATAACTAATAATTATTATCCATTTTTTCATTTTAATCTAGTGAAAAATAAGTTTTTGAGCTCAAAATTCATGATTTCATAAGCTATAGTCCATGATTTTTAATTTTTTTTGTTTTTTCGTTGCAATGGAAAATAATTTTGGGGTAGTTAAAATTGACAATTTAATGGCCTATAACTCATGATTTTAAATTTTTTTTGTTCATTTAAGTCTAACCATGAAATCATAAATTTTGGCTCCACGTAATTATTTACCAACTGATCAAAATGACTCAAAATAGCAAAAATAATGGCTTATGGCGTATGAAATCATGAGTTTTGGCATCCGTGAAATTATTTGATAGACGGGTCAAAATGACTAAAAATAACAAAAAAGAATATGTGTTATAGCCAACAAAATTGTAAATTTTGCCCTTCATAAAATTATTTAGCAATGGGTCCATATGATTAGAAATGTAACAAAAATTATGGGTTATATCTCATAAAATTATTGTAAAAACCTAAAAATTTAAAAAACAATTTGAATGATAAGAAATGAGTTTTACTATGGTTAGTGATCATTCTAGGATGAATGGATCAGATTGAAATCGATTTGAGAACGATTCGTAGTTTCAGCCTCGATATCACAAGTCTACTGAAACCTGCCACATTTTCATTTTTAGAAATTTTCTTGTTGATTAGATGGGCATGAGGGTTGCGCCGTTGATCTTAGAATGTCGAGACCGTGCTGTGGGTCAAGTTTTGTTGCGTTCTGACGACGGAGACTGAAACCTAATTTTCGAGAATCTCTCTCTTTTACCCCTTTTCTTTCACATTGAGCATCCACCTTCCTCCCTCTAAACCCTAAAATTTTTCTTTTATTTTTGGAGAAACTTTGTGAAGAAAAGATAGGAGGGCGAGATCTACAACTTTTGTGAAGGAGGATCGAGTTTCTCTCACGTTTGAGAGATCAAAACCTCTTCTAAAGGCAAGTTCATCTTCTTCAAACTCATCACTCTTTTTTTCTTCGATGGATTAAACTCTAAATTGATGAATAGAACTTGACATTCAATCACTAAAATGCAAGATTTAAAACATGATTGACACCCGCATGTTATTTTTGTCAATTTTTTTTAGAAAATCAATTAACTTCAGAAAATTGGCGATTTTTGTTTCAGAGTTTGGGTCAGTCGACTGACATCATTGACCAATCGACCGATCGACTATGGTTAATTGCCGATTTTGCTTTAGAGTTCTGATCCGTCGACTGACACCATTGATCATTCGACCGATCGACTCTTAGGATCGTATCAGTTAACATATCAGAAAGAAAAAGAAAAGGAAAAGTTACTGTAGCGAACAGAGACTGTTTACCGTGTTTCCTTTTGTTTGTTCTTTGTGTTGTGTAGACTTGTTCTCGCGTCGATTTCCTGAGAAATTAAATTGCAGTAGATTAGTTAATTACAGAGATTAGTAGTTAACTACTCAGGCTTATTTCTATCTCCGTTTTGACTTGCACAAACTTGAGATATGTTCGCGGGGTTTGGCTGTAATTCTTTACACATTCATTTTCGAATACACTAGTATAGTGTCGTAGTACTTGCATGAGTATCCCAAAGGGGATTATGACAAGTGTTGGGCGGTAAATACTTGAGGGAGAGATTTTTATACGTGAGATGGATATCGTTGACGAACTTAGTTCAGAACTACGTGGGGTAGCGCGTCGATATTCTATTTGTACAGGTCATTGAGTCTGGCTCTAGGATGCTTGATCTAGTAGTCCGTCCCGCACTAGGGTACGATGAG